TCAGCGTTTTAACTTTCACTGCTTATCACAATGTGATGTCGCTCAGGTAATCTTTCCTCAGCGTTTTAACTTTCACTGCTTATCACAATGTGATGTCGCTCAGGTAATCTTTCCTCAGCGTTTTAACTTTCACTGCTTATCACAATGTGATGTCGCTCAGGTAATCTTTCCTCAGTGTTTTAACGTCCATTTGTTATCCTGATGTGGTGTCGTTCAGTTAACCTTTCCTCAGTGTTTTAACGTCTACTCATTATCCTGATATAATGCCACACAGATAATAATTCTTAAATGTTTTAATCTCCACTCGTTACCCTAATGTTGCATCTCTGAAACCACCTTTTCTCACTGTTTTAACGTTCACTCGTTACCCTAATGTTGCATCTCTGAAACCACCTTTTCTCACTGTTTTAACGTTCACTCGTTACCCTAATGTTGCATCTCTGAAACCACCTTTTCTCACTATTTTAACGTTCACTCCTTACCCTGATGTGATGTCGCTCAGGTAACTTTTCCTCAGTGTTTTAACCTCCACTCCTTATTATTGCTGGATCACTTTATTAGATCACACCCTGCTGCACATTTCATCTCTAAGTGCTTTAGTCTTAGGTAAAAACAAAGTTTCTGAAATACTAAGAACCCAAAAAGAAGAGGGTCCAAATGGGGTGCAGTCGATATACTGCTTCCGACACCCAGGGGGAGAAGGAAAACTTATCTTTTTTATGGGAACACCCTTTTCTTGTAATGAACCTTTACGACTTGCGTGTTTTAGGGCCTTGTCCTGCGGACACAACACTGACAGAATGCGACACCTGGGGTGTGAAAATGTAATTTCGACTTCTTGTCTTCTTGGAATTGATGTGAGGTAGAGATATTCGGTTATTGACGTTATCCTACTTAAAACATTCGAGAAAACGGTTAAAGGACCACTGGATGGATTTCTGTGACTTACTACTAACCAGTTTCATACTTATTTCACACCGTTTATTACCCGAAATAATTATTATCCGCTGTATAATGCCCACGAAACGCAATTATTTAACTTTTCACATCCTTCCACGCCCCTCATCGTTAAAAAACACTCCTACTATATTTCTCTAGGCACGCACGAGACATTCTCCTAGCACAGTTTACTGAGGTTGAGCCGACGCTCGCGATGAAAGCACTCAGTTGATGTGGAATTCACCAGAGTTCAACACATGGTTTGAGAGAGAAGTAGCTTCTTTTCTATATTGCTTATTCTCTCTGTCGTTATATGAACTGTTGAAGGAGAGGGGGAAGGAGGCCTCGTTATAAAACGTAAGTTTACTCCAGGCTAAGCGGAAGTCCTAACTCCTAGAAGCTCAGCTAAGAACACTTTAATTACAAAGAGTCAAAGTACTGATACAACATTCTTATCCCACGAGCAACTTCGACCTTTGCTGCTTCATAATGTTCAAATATTTCCTACATTTGAAAGTATGTTCCACATTTAATCTTCTTGTTCTATTCGTTGAAGAAACAAAACAAAAAAACATTTACTGGTTACAGAGAGTTACTCTTATATTGGGGGAATTCAAACTTATATTAGAACCAATAGTTCACCCGCAAAAACGTGACGTTCAATTGATTCAATCTAGTCGTGAGAATTAAACCGAAGAGAAATTAAAAATTTCGCTCTTATAAAAACAAACTTTTTACCCTCCTTCTCATTATAGTCAGACTACAATGTACACGGCCCCCCTAGAAACTATGGTCTAACACTGGGTTATACAGTCAAAGAAGAGGGAGAGCACGTGCCCTTGGGATGATCCAGCTTCTGACTGGACAGCGCCCGTCACTACTCTAGGAACTCAGCTAGATCACGTGACTACTGTTACCCCATCTTGGCTCTATATACTAATAGCATTTATTTCTTGTGCTGTCAGCACGATCTAATATACACGGTGTGTCAGCTATTTCACCAGCAATCAGTAATCTCCAGGGACCGTCATTTAAATAAAAAGTACTTCACATTAACCCAGTGCACTTGAAACGGAATTAGCGAGCAGGTTGACTACATCTGACGCCCAGACTAAACACACACACGTAGCGTGTTATAAGTTAGAAAAGTGTACAAGTAATGTAAATGTAGAGGTAAATGAAACAAACAAACAAATATTAGAGATCATCCCTGCTACTCAAACACTCTTTTTACCCTGTTAAAAATAAAATATTTAGTTAATGGCGTAAAAGAAATGGTTAATTTTCAGCAATTCTAGATTATGGAATTTTAACGTAAAATTTCTCTAGTTGCTACTCATGGAAGCAACTAGAAAATTAATGGAATTAAACGTACTTTCCTACCTAGCTCATAGTAATAAGTGTAAGCTCACATTATTAAAATGTGATGATGGGAACAGGAATACAAACAAAACTGTTTTGACGCGTTTAGATAACATCAGAAATTATCACGAGTGAAATTCTGAAAAGTATCGTGTGTTCGCTTAACATGTAGTGATGTAACATTCCAATAAGCTACTTGTTGTCCCTAACGACCACGAACGAGTTGGTTAACACGCCAACTTCTCTATCACGAAGATCCGCTATCGAATCTTTGCCACTACTGCCACAAAACATAGCCCCACCCTGAGCCTTCCCGAAGACAAGGATGCCAATAAAGTGTCCGATTTACGGTTTCCCTTAGTTTCGGGTGAAGCGTGGCTCAGTATTTAACGTGCCGCACTGTGGATCCGAGATTCCCTGGTACGCGCCCTGTTACTGCGACAAAATGAAAAAGAAAAAAAAAATGCTCGTGCTCCGCACTTTGGGGTCGTGGATGCGTCATAAGAATGACGGTCAAGTTTTACTATTCGATTATAGTAGCCCACGAGTTGGCAGCAGGTGGTGTTGACCAGCTGTCTTCCCTCAAATTAGGGACAGCTATATGCAGATGGCCATTTGTATAAAATTCTGGAAAAGAAGTACCCGGTTAAACTCTTTCATAACACACTAAGTAGAAATTCTTTATATAGTGCATTAGTTAGAAGGACAGAGTTATCAGTATGAAAATTCACGGACCCGGCATGGCCAGGTGGTTAAGGCACTCGACTCGCAATCTGAGGGTCGCGGGTTCGAATCCCCGTCACACCAAACATGCTCGCCCTTTCAGCCGTGGGGGCGTTATAATGTGTAAGTCACTATTCGTTGGTAAAAGAGTAGCCCAAGAGTTGGCGGTGGGTGGTGATGACTAGCTGCCTTCCCTCTAGTCTTACACTGCTAAATTAGGGACGGCTAAAGCAGATAGCCCTCGTGTAGCTTTGCGCGAAATTCAAAACAAACAAACAAACAATAAAAATTCACCCCCTCCCGATGCTCATCTCGGTAAGCTTGACGGCTTATAACTCTGAAATTTAGGGTTCGATCCTTCCGATGGTACAGCGGGAATAAACTAATTTGCACTTAAAAACAACCAAATAATGAAAAAAAGCGAACCGAGGCTTGGAAAGTGTGCTACAAATATCAGAATGTAAAGCTCCAAGTTTGATTTATTTGTGACGTAATACCGAAATAAGATAAAAATATAAATTGAGAAAAATCCAACGCAACATGTCCACCTAAAGAAAACAAGTTGTTTTAACATATTCTCATCACAGCTATCTTTTTAATGTGTTCGTTAATAACATACAGATGACGTTGTTACATGTATTTTGATGTTTTAGGGTTATCATATATAAGAGTAAAAATCAAAAGAAAAATTTTAGAATATTCGAAGTTATTAAAGTTAAGCAGGATGTATAAATAGTTGCACTGATTCCAGACGTTAGTAGTTCAAAAATCCACTTGCTGTATCATAGAAAAAAAAAGGCTTGGAGGGGTTATCTTGTCGAAAGATATGATAATCTATAAAATATATGAGTTGGGAAAAGCGAAACACGTCAAGCAAGAGATCTAATAGATATTTTAAACTACTACAGAATCGCAACCCC